ACTCTGTGCCTCAGTTTTCTCACTTGCCGTGTATGATAACGCGAGCCACTTCTGAGTGCTCTGTGAGGTTTATAGCCCAAGAAATCATTCCTATTGTCTCCCCTGAGGCGTGACTTTCTGGATGCCAGGTCTAGAACCCCTTCCTCTCTCTTGTCAGAGCCTGGCGCAGAGGGCAGAGTGGCTCCCAGGAAAATGTGGTGAGTGAGCTGGCCCAGGGGATGCTGGCTCACCTCACGAGCGCCCAACTGTCACAAGAGGGTCTTCCACCCGGGTAGGGGCCCCCCCTCCATACACACCAGAGCCGTGGGTATTTCCTGAATGAAGTGATCACCGTGAAAAACAAAGTCCCCGCTGACTGCCTGTTCTTGCATAATCTGCCCACAGCTCTGCGACTTCCTGGCTGGGCTCTGTGCAGTCCCGGGGGCCCCCATCCTGCCCTAGAAGGTGCCAGATGCTGGCCACCCGTCTTCTCAGGGGAGGCCAGGCAAGGCCTCCAGAGCCCAGCTTCTTTTCTAAAATCCAGAAGGCGCCTCCAATACTCTTAAAAATATATTTTTTTATTGTCATTGGACACAATACCTTGATTTTATTTTATTTATTCATTTTTGTGTGGTGCTGAGGATCGAGCCCAGCACCTTGCATGTGCTAGGTGAGCGCTCTACTGCCCAGCCCCTGCCCCCGCCCCATCCCCTCTGGTACCTTGAATCAGACAACTGGGGACTGCAGTCCCAGCCCCGCCACCTGGCGACCCCATGGGTCCCGGAGTGCAAGGGTCCGCCTCCTGGCCAAGGGCCCATGCTCTGGGCCAGAGAGACTTGGTTCGGATTCCAGCCAGGAGAATGGGGACCTTGCCGGGGTACTTCGCTTTCCAGGGCCAACGCCATGAACAGCAGTGAAATCAAGGTGATAGGTGACGGGCAGCCCGGTGCCAGGCCCAGCGTGTGGTCTCCAAAGGCTTCGACACTCCTCCATCCAAGCAGGGAGACCTATGTCACCTCTCCTTGCGTCTGGGCTCTGGACCTGCTGGGCCATCAGTGTGTCGGAAGTGACACTGTTCGGGTTTGAAGACCTGGCCCTGGCCCCAGCACCACGCTGAGGGAGCCCTGTGAGGAACGGGCCTTCTTGCCAAGCCCAGGCCCAGCCACAGAGTCGGGACCCACAGCGTGGCCACTGTGGTTCAAGCGGCAGAGTTCAGGTTGGTTTATCACACCGCTACGGCCAGGGCCTCACACCCGGGGTCCTTTAACGCTTAGGAGAAATGGCACCCGGTGTACTCCCCTGAAGGTCACGCTGCCGTCACGCAACACGGGTGTGAGGAAGCCTCCAGGAGACGATCCCCTGCACCCTGGGCAGGACCAGCTCTGTAAGTCGGGGGACCCAGAGAAACAGAGCCCCTCGTTCAAACATGATTAATAGGTTGGACATGGTCACAGCGGAGCTCTGGGCTGAGCTCAGGGCACCCGAGCATGGGGCCTTCGGTGACCACACAGGTTACAAGCCCTGCTCTGGGATAGCCTCGTCTCCTCTGATGACGGGACCCCTGTGGCTCTTACTTGTGTCTGCCTCGTAAGTAAGCATCCAGCCGTCTTCAAGTCACTTTCTTACTGGAGGCAGGGTCTCCTCGCGTTGCCTGGCCTGGTCTCCATCACCTGGACTTACGGGCTCCGCTGTCCCCGCTTGCGAGTGGCTGGGACACAGACGTGCACACCGAGCCTGGGCTTCACCCGTTAGTTTGAACACCATGTTTTTAAAAGTCATCTTTGCTGCTCAAACGAGACGGTGGTTCCCCACCCCAGCCAGGGCCGTCTCTATCACAGACCAAGGCGGGCCGCGGGCTGACAGTGGACCTCCACGGGCTCAATTTCCCATCTGTGAAATGAGGAGGCGTGCTCTTGACCTTGTCTTCCCTTGGGGATCCTGGTGTGGCCGAGAACAGGATACAGGTGTCACTGAGAGCAGACAGCTCTGCCGGGTCCCGGGACCTCACTGCCCCCTGCCCGAGCTCCGTGGGTTTCAGAGTCACACCTGCCTTCCAGGAAAGTGGCCTCAAGAACAAGGCTCCGGTGGCTCAGCCCTGGGTCCTTCCCACCGGCCAGAGGAGGCAGAGCCACTCCTGGCCTGCTGTTTGGGGTTGTTAATGGACCTTTATTTTATTTATTTATATGTCGTGCTAAGAACCGAACCCAGTGCCTCCCACATGCCAGGCCAATGCTCCGCCCCTGGGCCCAGCCCAGCCCCCGGGCTGCTACTCCTTCCCATAAGTGGAGGACCAAGATAGACTCCTTCCCACTTCCCGCTGTGCTTACGGAGGTGAAAGGAAACTTGTCAGGAGGCAGAGTGCCTGATGCTGTCTGTGACGCAGACCCCCTCCCTGAGAGGGTGCAGGGCCACCTGGGTGCAGGGAGGGACTCAGAATCACCAGGAGGGAGCCCAACCCCAGCTCTTGCACTTCCCAGCTGTGTGGCCGTGGGCCAGCGGCTTCACCTCTCTGAACCTCAGTGTGGAAAGGCCAATGCTGCCACCCAGGCTGACCAGCTCTCAGGACGACCATTATGAAGCCCAGATGCTCAGAGGATGTGCAGAGGGCAGGGCAAACCTGAGCTCTCGAAGAACGTGGCTTGACCTATCATTTGCTGGACACAGAATAGGTGCTCGGCTCTGGCAGGGCCCCGCGTCCGCGTGGCCGCTCAGCCTCTTGCAAGGCAAGCATCAAGTCCATTTTGCAGATCAGGATCCCCAAGGTGAAAGGCGCAAGGGCTCTGCTTGAGAACTGCCGGGGACTGGCCGACTGGAGGCTGAACCCTGATGGCCACCGTTGAGGCACATCCTCCAGGAGGGCTGGAGGGTTAAGGAAGAAGGTGAGGCCCACACTGACTCCAGGAGGCCAAGACAACCCAGGCTCATGCCTCCGAACGCAGATGCCAGGCCAAAGCCCGACAAGGGCCACCAGCCGCCCCAGGACTTTCCGGTTTGGTTTTCGCTCTCCCTGGAAGATACCCGAAGAGGAACCAAGACCCACCGACCGCTCACCTCCTGCAGCGACAGAACCAGGAATGCGGCCTGCCTTCTGAGAAAACGCATCCAACTGCTTCCTGGCTCCCAGTGGGTGCGGCCAGCGCCCCCCACTTCCCTCCTAAATAGGTTAACACAACGGCTGGCACCCGTGGCTCGGCCCTTCTTGCTCTTGGCTGGGATAATACCAGGAAGTTCATTGTTCTAACAGGAGGAAGACACAAAGAAACAAAGAGTGGTGCTCTTCCGATAAATCTGCCCCGCCAGCTGCCCATGACCAGGCCTCCCCCTGCGTGCCTCCTTCGCCCACCTGGTGCGCCCTTTGTTTTTCCCGAATCTTGAGGCCGGGGCTTTCCCACCTCAGGGCCTTGGCATTGACCATTCCCTACCTTCCAGACCTTGAGCCAGGCACATTGGTGCATGTCTGTGATCCCAATAACTCAGGAGGCTGAGGCAGGAGGATCGCAAGTCTGAGGCCAGAATCAGCAACTTAGGGAGATCTCGCTGGCGTTTACATCATTCGGGCGGAGCTCAAAGGGGCAATTCCACAGGGAGGCCTCCCCCAATTCCTTGATCCCTCCCCTCTGGACCCTGCCCTGGAGCCCAGACTGGGGGCTCCTGGAAGCATACAGTGTGATCCCACTCCCAGAATCCCTCACAAACGTGCCCAGAGTTTAGAGGTCAGCAAACAGCCAGTCCTGACTGATGTGAAGGGTCCTCGGCAGCACGGAGAGCAAGAGGAGGCCTGTCCACTGTGGACGCTCCACATGACCCAACGCCAGGGAGGCCAAGTGCCCAGGCTAGCCAAACCCTGGTTCAACCCAACAGAGCAGAAGGTCTGGGGGCAGCTTTGGAACCCACACCAGCTACAGTGGTTTTCTGGGAGACAAATGTTCTGAGTTCAGGGCTCTTCAAAGGTGACCCCTTAGCAGAAGGAGGAGCTGATTCTGCAGGAAGGGGTCACTCAGGGGCAAGTGGCCACGGGCTGCAGGGAGAACACAGCTGCCAGTCAGTGGGCGCAAGCCACGTGTCAGGTGACAGCTCAGAGAAGTCCCACGACCCTAGCAGGCAGAGGCTGCTATCCCCATTTCAGAGGCGGAAACAAGGACAGGGTTGGTCCCTTCCAGAACTCATAGTGAAACTTAACTGTCGCTGTGGCCCCACTGGGAGGCGGGGAGCTCAAGAGGTGTTTTGATCATTCGCCACACTCTCAGGGGACCCCATTAATTCTCTCAGGTGAGTTCTCGCACCTGGGGTCTGAGTTCCTTACTCCAGAGCAGGTTGTCACAAACTAAGGCAGCCCCTCACGCTCTGTCCCTCCAGGCACACCCACTTCGCATACAATTTTCTGCCCCAAGTTGAAGCAGCACAAGGCCCTCACCAGATGTCACCGTGCAGTCTTGGACTTCCTGCCCTTCAAAACTGAGACAAAATGAACCTCTTTTCTCTGTAACTTACCCCAACTCAAGTGCTCTGTTATAGCATCGGAAAATGGACCAAGACACTATATTCCTCCCAAATCTCAAGGCCAGGGCATCATGGAACACAACCAAGACCACTGGCTGATAAATGGCAGAGTAGGGATTTGAACCTGGGCCTGACCCCAGAGCACTATTCCACTCTGCAGAGGAATGGCAGCTGGAGAGCCACCCTTTGTCCCTGCATAGTTTTATTTCTACTCAGCTTGACACATCAGTGTCTGGTGACAAGGGACAAAAAAGAGCAGGGCCCAGCCTGGGTCTTCAGGACTCACTCCTGGGAGGAGTGTGCGGATGGAGAGAGAGCTACCCTGGGAAGTGGTCCTCCTGCTCGGGTTTAGGACCGGCGCCAGGCCCTGAGCTTCTAGGAATCCTGTAGTTTCCAACCTTCGAGGCGCCTTCCACACAATGGCCCCTTTGTGAAGGCAACAGCTTCCGCAGGACATTATCACTCGCTGTCGCCCCTGCTTATAACTGTTCAGGAAGAGGCGGGGGGTGGGGGAGTTTCTTTTAAAAACGTTTTTTATTAGTGCATTTTAATTGTACACAAGGTGGGATGTGTTGTTACACACTGGAACCTGCACATAATGACATCATTTGTTTTATGTGGTGCCGAGGATCGAACATGTTAGGCAAGCACAGAGCGCCAGCGCCAGCGCCAGCCCCAGCCCCGGGGAAGGGTTCTTAACAGCCTGGGAATTGCTGCCCTGAGGGTCCTTGTCCATCTGTCCTCTTGAACATCAGAACATCCAGAGGTTAAGGAGCCCACCTGGTCTCTGTCAAGTTGGAGAGCCCCTGGCTCCTGAGCTGACCACAGGGCAGGCAGCAGCTGGTTCGGGCTGGAGGTGGGGCTGCAGTCCTAGGGGTGGGGTGGGCAGGGTCACCTGCCATGGCTGTGGGTCTCCTCCATCCCACACAGAGCCACATTCAGGGGGACACTCCAGGCTGGCTGCGTGCAGTGGGAGGAGGTCCAGAGTGGCCCTGAGCTGCACCCAGGTGGGCAGGGTTGGGGGCTCTGCGGGTCCCAGGAGCCCAGGGCTTCTCCCACCTCCAGAGCCTCCTTTCCCAAGCTGCAGGGCTCATCCCAGCCAGAGGGAAGGAGGCCTGGAGAGGCCCAGGGCCCCTGCGCAAACGCCCGCAGGCAGCCCTGTGCAAAGAGCAGCTCCATCCTGAGCACCCTCCCGGGCAGGCTTTGGCTCCGGGGTGTGTGTCGTGGAGGACGAGTCTGCCTCCGAGGGCAAAAAGAAGTGAGGATGTGCCTGTCCTCGGCAAGAGTCCAGGATGCACAGGGATCCCTGACCTGGGCGAGAGGCCCTGTGACCTTCCTGCTCCGAGGCTGTCAAACACTCCATTTCCACCGTCATTCCTCGGTCTCACAATTTTTCTTTTTATTTTCTGCGTGTGTTTTCCTGGGACTGAACCCAGGGGCGCTCCACTGCTGAGCTACATCCTCTGCCCTTTTTATTGTATTCTGAGACAGGGTCTAACTACATTGCTCAGATGGTCAAGTCTGGCCTTGAACTCTCGATCCTCCTGCCTCAGCCCTGGAACTGCTGGGATTCCACGTGCACACCACCAAGCCCAGATCAATTCTTCATTTCTCCTACAGACTTTTAGAGGGTTAAACGTTTTGTCAAGAGCCACCAGGCCATAGAGTGCCTTATCCTGTTAAAGTGTGTGGCCACATTCTCGGGCCAAGGTGGCCAGCCGGCTCTGCTCGGCAGGATCAGGGTGGTGTCCACTCGACCCTCAAGGCTGCAGCTCTGGGGGGCGCTGGGTGCCACTCTGTCCTTGCACAGGACAACTGGGCAACTACTGCCTGACCCACTCAAGTTCCTGGCCAGCACCCAGTCCTGGCATAACCACCTCTCACGGTGCCTCAGACTCTCCAACTTTCCCCAAAACATCTGAGTGGTTTCAGAAACCACCCTCGTGATTCCTGAGCGGTCAACTTCCTCCAGAGAGGCTGGCTGGTGAGTAAACAGCTCCCGGGGCTGGCCCCTGGGGGTAAGTCCAGGGGTGTCCGGGCTGTAAGATGCTTCAGCGGTCACTTGTTTGTTCTAAGAGGCTGCAGGCCCAGGGGCTGGCCCACAGGCAGGATGTCAGGGCGCTTTAGTCCTTACTGTGGAACACAGAGCCCTGAGGTTTCCGCCACCTTCTGCCTTCGGTGCAGAGTGGGGTCGAACGTCCTGAGTCCAGGGTCATCCAGCATCCACACCCTGGTGGGTGCAGAGCAGCGGGAACGGGCCGCAGGGCGGGTGTTGGTGGCTTCTCAAGCATGGCAAATCTGGGAGGTGGCAAATCTGGGAGGTGGCAAACCCGGGAGGTGGCAAACCCGGGAGGTGGCTTTCCACTCCCAGGACAGAGCAGGAGGCGCCTCAGAACAGCGGAGGCCCCCGCAGGCTGCAGGCTGCACACAGGAGGAGTCCCGGGGCAGAGCCGAGGCCCTTCGCCAGCAGCAGTCGGCGGCAGGGTCTCCAGCCAGGGTGGGCGCTGCAGGGCGCGGAGGTCTGCAGACACCTGGGCCCTGAAAGGCCTCCTGCTCGGGGCTGAGTGGGGACTTTCTGGGAGGAGTGGATGGACCTGGGCTCACCGTGGGGGCTGGGCAGGGAAAGGGCTGCCGCAGGGAGGTCCGCAGCCTGGGGAGGCTGGGGCGAGGTGCAGCGCCACAGCTGTCGCCCACAGGGTGCCAGCGCCAACACCCACTCCTCGACTTCCCTTCTGACTCAGGAGAAAAAACCACAGGCGCTGGCACCGCGCCCGCTGGGAGCCATGTTTACAGTAACTGGGGGCTGGGGCGTGCCAGCAGGCCTGATGTGTCAGCTCTGAGGCCCAGGGACAGGGGAGGGACACAGGGAACCAGCCTCGTGCTCACTCCCTCAGTGGGTGCTAGCTCGATGCTGGGCACTGGTCCTGGTGGCAAGTGTCAGGTGCCACCGCTGAGACCAGAGCTCTGGGCAGCAGCAGAGCCGGGTGCCCCATCCCTGGTCCACTACTAGCCGCTGGACCTCAGTCCAAGCCACACGGTCTTCTGCTCCGCTGGCCTCCAAGGGGTGCCAGCTGCCCTCCCGCCGCCCAGGTTGGGCCTCACTTCCCAGAGGCCACTGTGGGCCCCAAGTCCTCCTTGCCTTCTTCCTCCACAGAGAACATGACGTCCCCGCAGCTGCCCAGGGGCGGCTCTGTCTCCTGCTCTGGGTAATGCGGGACATGGTCCACCTCCAGCTCCGGCTCCGGCTCTGCCTCAGGCCCCACGGGCCCCACCGGGCCCCGGCCCTCAGACGCCTCTGTCTTCACAGTCCCCACGATCACTGTGTCAGCCTTCATGATGTAGATCTTCTCTGCAAGGCAAAAGGATGGGTGAGGAGGGGAGGCCAGAGCCCAGTGCGGGAGCAAGGAGGCAGAAGCGGGGCCGAGTCCCTCCTCCTCTACCACTGCTGCTGTGTGATTTCAGGCCGATGACACACCCTTTCTGAGGCACAGAACTGGCCCACATGCTACTTAATGGGGTGCTCATGATTTTGGAGGTACTTCTTTGGGGCTGGGAGACCAAGGGAGCTGTGGGGAAAGGCCAGCAGCCACAGGGACCAAAAGCCCTGGTGAGCGGCCGCACCGAGCATCCCCAGGCGCTCCCCACGCGTCAGCTCTGGGCCCCCCGGGCTCCTGCAAGGAGTGAGCCTTCGTTATCCCCGTTTTACAGACGAGAGCCTGCAGCCTGGCAAGGTCAGATGAGTCCCCCAAGGTCATCAGGAGAAAGCACGGAGGGAACTCCCACCGCCAGGCAACCCTCTCTGCTTCCATCCACTTCCTAAAGCAGACACCTGGG